TCAGTGCTACCCCATTAGTGCTGCGGCCATAAAATCAGTTAAATCCATGACAAAACAAGAATTGCCAAATCAAAAGGTACCCCCTCACCACGTTTGTGATTTGGTACCAAAACACTTCTCACTTTGGCTCCAAGTGAGACTGGGCAGCTTCTTTTCTGCACCCCTATTTAATTTTTTATCTTTAAGTGTTTTAGAGGTAGTACCAAATCACTATCTTCTACTGATTAGTAGAAGTTAGGGGCTAGAATGATAGCTTTGTTTATTTCTCAGCTGTTGTCTGTTCTAGCCTTTTACTGATACTGTTCATAACACAAGGTCTTTACCATAATAAAGATGCATGGATGTTTGAGTTCCCAATCAGTAGCCTGTGAAACACAACGTCATTTTACCCATATGGATGAGTCAGATCCTCTAGAAATAGTCCTAGGCCCTAAAAGCCTCTAGCAGTAACTTGGCTTTTTTCCTCTCTCTCATCATTAGGGAAAAATAATTAATAGACTAATGTTACTCTTCTTTACTCATATAAGATTTCTTGGTGGCTCTAAATATTTTGCTTCTTCATTGTAGACCAAAGATGAACTTTGATATGCAAAATACCTTCCACTCAAATTATGGTGCTCTGAAGACTCTTCCTAACTGAAAAGAAGAATTTTTTTATGTATTCATTCCGGAAACAATATAAAACCTGCCATGCAATTATTTGGATTATGAAGATATGTTTCTTCTACCTATTATGCGGTATTCTCATGACTGTCCTTTAAAGCACGTTTTTAAAATTTTGTAATAAAACCACCTTTATTTTAAAGGCCTATGTTATGCTGCTTTGTAGCTGTGTTTGGACCATAGAGCAGTAAAAAGAAAGGGAATCTGGGTCCTTGACTCACAGCAGCCCAGACCCCTGTCCAGACTTGTTTTATGTGACAGAACAATAGACCCCTGTCTCCTTTAAGCCACTATTATTGTTGATACTCAGCCACTCACAGCCAAGCTTACTAATACATCATACTAAGCTTATCATTATCTGGCCTCTGCCTGCATCTTTAGTCAAACCTGTCAGCACTTTCTAACGTGAACCCTGTAGTCTAGCAACACCAATCCCCTCCCAGTTCTGTCAGTACCTGTTTCCTTACCTTCCTGGTACCTGCCTTTCCCTAGGTCTGGAATGCCAGGACTCTCTCTTCTTCATCCAGCTCACACATCCTTTGATGCTCATTTCAGGAATCTAGATTCACCTCTGAATCTTCTCCTCTGCACACTTACATCATTGTATTCACCACACTATGTGCTAATTATCCATTTGGTTCTCTCTCGCTCTTATCAGATTTTAAGCACCTTGACTGCAGCCACCATGCTTTTCTTCTGGGTAGTTGTAGAGTCTAATAGAGTGCCTGCAACTAGAAAGGCTAAATAAATATTGAATGGATAAATGAATGAATGAAAATCACTTTGAAATGCAGCTAAAAGAATTTAAAAGGAACAAGAAATCCTAACACTGAATCACATATGATTTTCTACAAATTCCCTAACCTAATATTCTCCCATCTATCTTCCAGTTAAATAATCTTATAAATTTTTTAAATTATGAAATATACATACAGAAGAACATAAATATATATCTGCATTTTAAAAATAATTATTAAAAAATCCACGTAACTACTGACAAAAATTCTTTGTTTGACCAAACTTTGCTCAGGCTCCTGAATCTTCTCCTAGGCCTATTTGTGCATTGCCTTATGAAATCCACGTTTAGCAAGAAGAACCCTGCTAAGTTAGTTTATCAAAATCCCCCAACCTCCTTGTCTGATCACTCTTCATATCTAATCAGGTTCCTCTTCCTCCACCATGGCCCAGATGATGTCTGATTATGCTGGCCTGTTTTTAGCAAAAATGCTTTAGGTCTATAGAACCAGAATTTCCGTTACCCCTGCTATTTCCTCTTAGTAATTTTCCATCCACTGACCCTTACCATGCTCCTTGGCTATAAATGCCCACTTTTCCACGCTGTATCCAGAATTGAGCCTGATTCTATACTGAGTTTTTTTTCACCCGTTGCAATAGTCATGAATAGCATCTGTTTTTACTGCTTTAACTATTGTCCAGCTCTGGTTTTTATTTGACATTGCCATTTGAGTTTAGGCGTAGAACATTGCTGGCACCTTAAAAAGTACCTCACCCTATCACATTCCACCCACCCCATGACCACTATCGTGATGGCTGTAACAATCTTTTCTTTGCTTTTTTAATAGTTTTACCACTTACATATACTTTCCTAAGCAACACAGTTTAACCATGCCTATTTTAAAATTGGTATAAATGAAATCATACCAAACATATTTTTGTTGTCACTTGCCTATTAATGCACATAGTGGCAGTTCATTCATTTTTATATGCAGAGAATATTTCATCATATGAATATGATCACTTTATTTTACCATTCCTTTGTAGATAGGCATTTGGGTTGTTCCTATTTTGGGGGAATGTCAGTCAATGCTACTGTGAGCATTCTTATTCATGTTTCTTGGCCACATTCGCTTAGACATAGTATTACTGGGTTATAAAGAACGGACATCTGCAATTTTACCAGATAATGTCAAATGACTCCAAATTGCATGCCCCAATTTATGCTCTCTTCAGGGCTGTACAGGATTTTCAGTTGCTTTACTTCCTTGCTATTGATAACATTTGATACTATCAGTCTTTCAAATTTTTTGACAATCCAATTGGTATGACATGGTAGCTCATTATGCTTTCTTGTTTGTTTTTTTTCAAGACCAATCAGACAAGGTAACTCATTATGTTTTAATTTTCATTTCTCTGATTACTAATGAGGCTGACCATCTTTTCACGTGGTTGTAAGCCATTTATGTTGCATACCCTGTAGAATTTTTAAATTTTTATTCCTTTTTTTTTTGTTTTTGGCTCATTTTCCTACTAAGGTGTTTAACTTCCTCATGGATTTGTGGAAGTGTATTTTGGAGCTATTATTTTGTTGGTCGTATATGCTACTTTATGACATGTCTTAGACTGTCATTTCAGTGTCTTTTAATGCTCAAAAGATCATGATCTTAATGTAAAGGATGTATCAATCTTTTTTTTATGGCTAATGCTTTTTGAGTCTTATTTAAGCTATCTTTCTTTATCCCCAAGTCACGAAGCCAGTCAACTATGTTATCTTCTATGTGAGTTTCCCAGAACTGTCTCACCAAATCACTACAATTTAATTTCTGCTGGTGACTTAAAACAACAGAAATTTATTCTCTCACAGTTCTGGAGGCCAGAAATGTGAAATCACGGTATCAGCAATGTTGGTTCCTTCTGGAGGCTCTGGGGGAGTATCTGTTCCATGCCTCTTTTACAGCTTCTGGTGGATTCTGGCAGTTCTTAGAGTTCCTTGGCTTCTAGATGCATCACTCCAATCTCTGCCTCTGTCATCACATGGTCTTCCCCTCTGTGTATCTCTGTGTTTTCTCCTTTTCTGTCTCTTAAGATACTCATCATTGGATTTACGGCCCATCCTAAATCCAGGATGATCTCATCTCAAGACTTTTAATTATATTTGCAAAGACTCTATTTCTAAATAAGGTCACATTTCACAGGTAACAGGTTAGGACTTGGATATTCCTTTTTGGGACCACTCTTCAACCCAGTACATGTTCTAAAAAATTTCCTTTGAAATTAGGAACAACATAAGGATTCCCACCATTGCACACTACTATTCAACATAGGCTGGAGGTCTAAGCTAGCACAATAAGTCTAGAAAAAGAAATAGAGGGTATAAGGATTGAAAAATAATGAATAAAATTGTCATTCAAAGCAGATTGCTATGCTTCGGTACACAGAAAATCCAAATATATTTACACATAAATTGTTAGAATTAATAAGAAAATTTGGCATTTGCTAGATGCAAAACCAGCATATAAAATTCAATTGCATTTGAATGCACCAGCTAATAACAGAAAATGAAATAAAAATGCATGAGATAGCACTTACAATAGCTTTGAAAATTGTGAAGTACTTATTTGAGGAACTAAATCTAACAGAAATGGATAAGACCTATACACAGAAAATTGTGAAAACTTAAAAAAATTAAATTGAAAGGTATTATATGTTTATAGATTGGCAAAATCAACATTAAAGTTGTCAATTCTCTCTCACGTGCTATATAGAGTCAATGTAATCCTAACCAAAATAGCTCCTGCCACTTTTTTGTTGTGGAACTTCACAAACTTTTTCTAAAAAATTATGGACCTGCAAAGTCTAAGAAAAATCACTTTTGAGAAAGGATGAATTGTGAAGACTTTCCCCACTATGTAGCAAGACTTTTTATAAAGCTTAGTATTGAAGACCATGTGATATTGGTGTAGGGATAGAAAAATAGAACAATACCAGAATAGTGATGCATACCCAGACCCATGCATATGTGGAAACTCAATCTGTGATAGAGAACAGCAGATGTTGGAGAAAGATTGCACATTTCAGTGAATGGAGCTGGGACAATTTGGTAACTATATGTGGAAGAAAAACAGTTGGAACTCTAGCATGCACTATATCCAAAGGTCAATTCCACAAAATCAGTGACAAAAGGCAAGACATAATACACATTTTTAATCAGCAAAAAGGCTATCTCTGCATTGTTCTAATAGTATAAACTTCAGCAGCTGAAGTGGCCAAAGAATTATTATTTCTTTCACTTTGTGACTGATAAAGCCTTAGGAATTGTTTCCAAATTATAGCAACTCTAGAAGTTTCTGGAACATATGTTTCTCATTATGCAACTCTTTTTTTTCTTCATCCTGAGAAGGAGGCCATTTTAATCTACCACAATGGCACTGCCACAAATGGCCCATGTGTTCCTGGACCTCAAGTGACACATTAGCATAGCAGGAATTCCTCTAAGGAACACCGCCTCTTGTGGTAAAAATAAGTGAAAAGTAGGTGCTAACAAGATGGAATTCATAATATATCTTTGCTTGTCTTGTAAGTCTTTTGTTTAAATCTAAATGGAGAGAGTTGAGATTTCAGTGAGGAAGTCAGGACTGATTTTGGCTGTTAAGCGTGGAATGTGTGATCCGTTGTTGGATGATAAACTCGGCATCTCTTCTGTGAGTAGCTTTCAAAGTCTGGTTTAAAGAACCAGACTTTCAGTTTGAACATTTGAATCAAAGTATGAGAAAATGAATCAAAAGCTTCATATGCTAATATAAATGTATATAAATTTTTTTCTCTCCAAAAAATTTTTTCTGCAAATTAATTTTTCACTCAACAATACATCATTGTTACATTACATTTTCTTTAAAAAAAATTTTTGGGCTGGACGCAGCAGCTCATGCCTGTGATCCTAGCACTTTGGGAGGCTGAGGAGGGAGGATTGCTTGAGCCCAGGAGTTCCAGGCTGCAGTGAGCTATGATTGCACCACTGCACTGCAGCCTGGGTGACAGAGACTTTGTCTCTAAAATAAATAAATAAAATTTGAAAAATTTAAAAATATTTTGGGGAGGGGAGGGGGTAGTCATGGCTATAAAGGAGTAGCTTGAAAGATACTTGTGGTGATGGCTTACTCCTATATCTTTTTTTTTTTTTTGAGACAGAGTCTCACTCTGTCACCTCAGCTAGAGTGTAGTGGCATCATCATAGCTCACTACAACCTCAAACTCCTGGGCTCAAGCAATCCTCCCACCTCAGCCTCCCAAGTATTTGGGACTACAGGTGTGCACCACCCCTCCTAGCTAATTTTTTCTATTTTCTTTTTTAGTAGAAAAGGGGTCTCACTCTTGCTCTGGCTGGTCTTGAATTCCTGACCTCAAGCAATCCTTCCACCTGGGCCTCCCAGAGTGCTAGGAACTCCTGTATCTTGATCGTGGTAGTAGTTACACAAATGTACACACATGTGATAAAACTGCATAGAGCTATGTGCGTGCACACACACACACACGCAAATGAGTGCATTTGTGATGAAATCTGAGTAAGCTGTGTGAACTGAATTGCACTACTGTCAAGCTTTTGGTTTTCATATTATGCTACAGTTAAGCAAGATTGCTACCATTGGGGGAAGCTGAGTGAAGAGTATACATACTTTCTGTTGCTGTATATACTTTTGTAATTATTGCAAATAAAACAATAAAAAATAATAGTTTATTTTAAATAAATGACGAAAGTAATACATGCTCATAATAAAAAAAAAAGTATCAACTTTTTCCAATCCTTACGCTCTTCTCAATAAAATCACTGTTAACAGGTAGACTTTCAGACAATTTCTTGGATACATAAACTTGGAGGAGAGGTCCATCATTGACCCAAATCATAATACTGTACCCTCTCCATCTTTTCTACTATGTGGGAAGAATTGTTTCTAATTTTCAGCTTTTTCAAAAAGAAGGCTGCATACTGGTAATACTATGAGGTAGCTTTCTCAAAGTGAAAATACTGAACAAAAGGTTATAAGTAACTTAAATTTCTATAGATCAAGCAAAACGGGAAGAGACTATACAAATTATGTTCCTATTAATAGAGTATTAAAATACTGTTTTCCAATATATTCAACAATACTGGGCATTAGTCATCTTTTTCACTTTTGTCAATTTGAGTTAAAAATTATTTTTTAAACATTTTTCTGATTACTTAGGAAATTAAATATTTTTAGTATTTTCTTGGACTTTTTAGTAATTTTATCAAATTTTTAATTTAAAAAATTTTTCCTACTGATCTGTTTCAACTTTTTATGTATTACGAACATCAATCTTTTGCTATTATGTTTGTTGTGAATGTTGGCTCCCAATCTTCTTGGTCCTTTGACTTTGCTTAGAGTGTTCTATTCAGTTTTTCAGCTGATTGGGTAAGGCTCACTCACATTATGGAAGGTAATCTGCTTTATTCAAAGTTCACCAATTTCAACATTAATCTCATCATCCAAAGACACCCTCACAGAAACACACAGAATAATGTTTGACCACATATCTAGGGACCATGGACAAGCCAACTTGACATGTAAAATTAACCATCACAAATGGGAATTCATTCAACAAATATTTATTGAGTACCTGATATGCCAGACATTGTGCTAAGCTCTACGGATACAGCAGTGAACAGTTGCTATCTATTCTGGAAAAAGAATGAAAATAAACAAGTAAAAAATAAAGAAACAAGATAATTATGGATTGTGATAAATAAAAACAGGGTATTATAGAAAGAAACTGGGTTGGATAGTGGTGGCTACTTCAGATTAGGTAATCAAGGATGTTCCAGATTTTTTACTGTTAAGTAAAATGTTTGCGATAGTTTATGATAAACAATCACTATTAAAACATTAAATTTTCAGTTTAATACTAACCTATTAAGGCTTTTTAATAGGAAGGGCATTATATTTCATTAAATGTTTTTTAGGCATTTATTGAAATGTTCATGTTTTATTTTGTTTTGGTTTTGCTGCATTAATCCATAATGGATTACATTAATAGCATTCTAATTGTGAAACATTATAAAAACTCCATAGTCATTATATATTATTACTTTAATACATAGCTGAATTATTTGTGCTAATATTTAATTTAGGATATTTCCAACTACAGCCCACAGGCCAAATCTGGGCCACCACCAGTATTTGTACAGCCTGCAAGCTAAGTGGTTGGAAAAAAATCAAAAGAAGAACAGTATTTAATTACATGTGAAACATATGAAATTCAAATTGTGATCCCTAAGTAAAGCTTTTGTATTAGTTTCCTATTGTAGCTGTGACAGACTACCACAAACGGAGTGGTCAAAAACAATATGAATGTATTCTTTTACAGTCTGGAGTTCAGAACCTGAAATCAGTTTCACTGGGCAAATGTCAAGGTTTTGGCAAGGCTGGTTCTCCTGGAATCTCTGAGAGGAGAAAACTTTTCCTTGCCTTTTTTTGGCTTCTAGAACTGCATTCCTTACATTTCTTGTGTTGGTCCCAATCCCTGCATCCTTCCAGCCAGTGGCTTGGCACTTCAAATCTCTCTTGTTTTGTTGTCACATTGCTTTCTGTCTCTGAATGGTGTAGCAATATTATTCATAATAGCCAAAAAGTTGAAACAATCCAAATGTCCACCAGCTGGTGAACAGATACACAAAGTTGCTGAATACGATTCAGAAATAACAAGACATGAATTATGAGAAGGAACAAAGTAGTGATGCTTGCCACAACATGGATGAACCTTGAAAACATTATTCTAAGTGCAAGAATCCAGACACAAAAGACCCTGTTTTGCATGACTCCATTTATATGAAATGTCCAGAAAAGGCAAATCTGCACAGACAGAAAGTATGTTAGTGGTAGGGTAGGAATAGGGAGTGATTGCAAAATGGGCACAGGTTTCTTTCTGGGAAAAAATTGAAATGTTATTAAATTAGATTACGGTGATGGTTATAAATGGTTGTAAAATTACTGGAAATCTCTGAATTGTACACTTCAAATGAGTGAATTTTATGTCATATAAAGTTTTAAGAAGCATAGCTAGAAAATGAGACCATTAAAGAAGTGTTAATTAAAACTTCGTAATTTGAAGAAACACTTGTGATAAATGACAGGGTATAAGTGGTTTTCTGGAATTTTATTTCCTTATATGTCCTGTTGACAGAAAAATAGGCAGGTACTAACCGTACTGGGCTTGGAGAAGGTTCATTCATTCAAGAAATATTTGCCAGGCATTATTCATACGCAGGAGATTTACGGTTAAAACCAACAAACAAAAACACCGAAAACAACCCTGTCTTCGTGGGGGAGTGAACAGTCCCGTGAGGAGCCACAGCCACATCTACAGTGTGTCAGGTGACCAGGGAAGAAGGCTAGGAAGTGTGGGGAGGTGATTAGGGAAAGCCTCACCGAGAAGATGACATGTGACTGACCACCCCAACGAGATGCTGCGGACCACTGCGATCTCTCCGAAAGAAAACAGCCAGGACAAAAGCCCAGTCGTGAGGGCCTGCCTGGTGGACTGTGAGGACAGCAAGGAGGCCAGGCTGCCTGAGGTGACGGAGCCGGGAAGGAGCCCCATGGAGAGGGAAGCTGGGGGACAGATCAGATACAGTTCTGCAGGACAGTGAGAGGCCTTTGGCTTCGAGGATGGGCAAGAGGGGCCGCCGGTGGAAGGTTCCGAGTGGAGGGGTTTACATCTCCGCAGGACCCACGTGGCTACTGTGTCGCTGACATAGCCGAGAGCTGGGACAAGGGTGTAAGAAGGCGCCACGTAGGCGACTTTCAATAATCCCAGCCCAGATGATGGTGGGGATTGGCCCAGTCTGGTAGAAGTGTGAGAAGTGGATGGATTCTGCATATATTTAAAAGTAGAGCCAACAGGATTGACGAATCGATTGTAGGGTATGAGAGAAAGACTAGTCAGAGTTGATCGCGCGTCTTTTGACCCGAGCGACCGTGAGACTGAGTGGCTGGGATAGGGAAGGGTCCCCAGGGGAGCAAGCTTGGAGCGAGACAGAGACTAGAGTTGGCTTTTCAGTGCTCCGCAAACTGGGGAGCGGCGGCGGCCCACCCCTCGCCCTCCCACGGGATCTGCCGCTCTCGCTCAACAGCTTGCCGGCGTCGGCGCCGGCGGGCGGAAAAACTCCCGCTCCCAGCGTGCCCCGCGGCTCGGCCAGCGCGCGCGTGCGCCGGAACGGACCGCGCTGGCGAGGGCGGGTGAGGCGGTTGCTTCGAGTGTGCTAGTTTGCACCCCGAAGGGAGTGAGGGCGGTTAGGTGTCCACGGCCACTTTCGCCTCCCCCGGTAAGTGCAGCTGTGGCGGTTGACGCCGCCAGGTGAGGGCTGGCTTCTTTGGGGAGTGGGAGCGCGCCCGGCTGGCCCGCCTGAGGCGTTTGGGGCTCGCGGCGTCTCTCCTGAGGGGCTGTTGGCCGGAGCCGGGAGGCGTTCGGTGTCAGTTCGGTGCCCGCGGGAGCAGCTGGTGGGGGCTTCGTCCGCTTTGCCGAGAAGGAGGCGGAGTGTGGGGTCCGTACGGACGGGGAGAGCCGAACCGGGCCAACACTGACCACGCTGGCCAGTCCCGGTGACTGGAGCGAAGCAGCCTCGGAGATTTGAGGGGTCGACCCCGGGATGGCCCACGGCCCAGCCCCGGCACACACGCGTTTGTTGAGTGAATAAATACAATTCCAAGTGCCGTTGAACCCCAGACTCCTGTGAGACCGCGTTTTGAATTTTTACCCTTGTATTGCTTGCTGTGTATTGTTGACCCGACCCCCGGAAGACTTGAACTCTTAACGTTTTTGTTTGCCCCGTGACAGCCAACGTAACGCAGTAGATATAACAGATAATGCACAAACGTTTTTAAACTGAAAGTTGAAGTGCTTATGGCATTTTGAGCCTTCAGCGTGGAATATGATCACTTATTACATTCTGAATATAAGTGGTAGTCATAAAAATCATTTTTTGAATGCTCACGATGTAGGGACATGATATTAAATACAGCACATACCTTATTTAATGGCCACAACATCTCTAGAAGGTTGTTATTTTCTCCATTTGCAGTTGCAGGCATTGTGGCTGAGCCAGGCTTCAAACCCTGCTCTATCTGAATCCAGAGCAGAGATGAAAACCCAACAGTCTTAGAGCATGTTATTTTGAGATTATATTATGGGACAATTTCCGTGTTTCTGAAGTAGTCTAGAACATGTGCACGAGTTGTGAAGAACAAACTGTTTGTCGTGAAGTCTGGAGGGGAGTAGAGTTTTCCTTAAAAAACACCAAAAACTATGTTGTTAGAGAGTAGTAGAGCATTCTAGCAGGAGGGTGCTTGAGTACATGCATCTTATTTGACTGCCTCTTGAAGTCTCACTAAAATTACAGATTGTTCTAATTATAAGCACCAAAGGAGGCAAGAAAGGTTCATTTTTCTCTGCTGCACCCCTTTTAATAAAGGGATTTGTTCTGTGAAGTATAGATTCACTTGAAGGGCCACACTTGGGGATCTGGAGGGCCACATGTGGGCTTGAGGCTGCAGGTTCCCCACCCCTGAATGATGGAGAGGATGAGAAAAGAACACTGGCAATCAAATAAATAGTGGGCTCTGGAAAGCATATCTTAATAAACCTTAACTTCCAAACCAGAAGTGAGGAGTGCTGTGGAACAATTCTGTATAAACCACAGAATCTTCAAAATGTATGGAAACCAGCAGCACTGGACACCTTTGGGCCTTGGAATGAAGATGGTGGTGGTGCTGGGGGTGAGTGTGTGGAACTTAAATAAAGATGACTTAGGTGAAATCTATTGGAGAAGCAGTTAGATATCTAGATCCCCTTCCCCATTTCCCACTGTTGGGTAACTGCCTTTCCCTGTTAGAAGACAGAATAGAGGCTTATTCTCTTGAAAAAATAAAACAGGAGCTTTGAATTGGGGGACCCAAAGCATAGCTACATTTATGAAACAAGGGACACTGAAGCCTGAAATCCTTTATCCTCCTTCTCCCACTCAACTCCCAGAACTTTTGCCCCAGGACTGATACTCTCCAGGTTCAAATAAGAGAATTCTACAAACACACACAGATATGGAAAGATACGTAATAAACTGGTCACAGTGGTTGCTTCTGGGAAGGGATAGGAACTTGGTGGTGGTGGAGGGGGAGAGTGTGAGGCAACTTCTCTATTTATCTTTTTGTTCTTTTAAAATTTTCTACTATGTGCATATATTACCTATTGAACAATGAAATGTATTTTTCACCCAGGAAGGTCTATGAAAAAAAAAATGTATTCTTTAAAAAAACTATGAACAGACCCTTGACAGTGATTCCTATTCCAGGAACTTATCTTATAGCTATACCTACACACGTGAAAATAATGTAAGTACAGTATTATCTGGAAAGATACAAAAGAAGCAGGTAGTGTTGGTTACCTTTGGAGAAGGGATGTAATGATGGCAAGGCAAAAGTGGAATGAATGAGACTTTTTCACTGTATATTCTTGGTACCTTTTGAACTCTGAACCATGTTATTGTTACCTATTGAACGAATGAACAAACAAATAAATGTTAATAGGGAAAAATGGGTCAGTAATGGAGATCCTAATTGTTGATTATATCCTGAACAATATAAGATCTCTTACAATTTGTAGAAATGCTACGTAACAGCCCCAAAATTTCAGTGGCTTACAGTATTTTGTGCTTATGGATCTTTGGGTAACCTGTTATTTAGATTTTGGCTGAACTAGTCTAGACTCCAGAATTTAGTTTTGGGTTCAGATCTGTTCCATGTGTCTTCACTTTGGGACCCAGGCTGAAAATGCAAAACTACCTGAAGCATGTTTTTCTCATGGTTGAGGGTAAAAGTTCAAGAGAGCTTCTGGAAATTTGCCTTGTGCCTCAGCTCAGAAGTCACACATTGGAATGTCTTTGTGTATTCCATTGGTTAAAACAAGTCACACAGCCAAGCCAAAAGTCAATAGGGTGAAGACATATACTCTGCCTACTGGAGGCACTGCAAAGTCACATAACAAAGGATGTGGATGAATACTTCCATTACATAGGAGGAGGAAGACTTCGTAACTATGATGAAGAAAATGGTT